CCTGGTGTGTATGAGGGAAGGGGAAGGGGAAGGGCTGGGAGCCTTGGTGAGCCCTGGTGTGTATGAGGGAAGGGGAAGGGCTGGGAGCCTTGGTGGGCCCTGGTGTGTATGAGGGAAGGGGAAGGGGAGGGCTGGGAGCCTTGGTGAGCCCTGGTGTGTATGAGGGAAGGGGAAGGGCTGGGAGCCTTGGTGAGCCCTGGTGTGTATGAGGGAAGGGGAAGGGGAAGGGCTGGGAGCCTTGGTGAGCCCTGGTGTGTATGAGGGAAGGCTAGGTGAGCCCTGGTGTGTATGAGGGAAGGGGAAGGGGAAGGGCGGGGAGCCCTTGGTGGGCCCTGGTGTGTATGAGGGAGGGAAGGGGAAGGGCTGGGAGCCTTGGTGAGCCCTGGTGTGTATGAGGGAAGGGGAAGGGGCTGGGAGCCTTGGTGAGCCCTGGTGTGTATGAGGGAGAGGGGAAGGGCTGGGAGCCTTGGTGAGCCCTGGTGTGTATGAGGGAAGGGGAGGGGAAGGGCTGGGAGCCTTGGTGAGCCTGTGTGTATGAGGGAAGGGGAAGGGGAAGGGCTGGGAGCCTTGGTGAGCCCTGGTGTGTATGAGGAGGGAAGGGGAAGGGCTGGGAGCCTTGGTGAGCCCTGGTGTGTATGAGGGAAGGTGAAGGGCTGGGAGCCTTGGTGAGCCCTGGTGTGTATGAGGGAAGGGGAAGGGGAAGGGCTGGGAGCCTTGGTGAGCCCTGGTGTGTATGAGGAAGGGAAGGGGAAGGGCTGGGAGCCTTGGTGAGCCCTGGTGTGTATGAGGGAAGGGGAAGGGCTGGGAGCCTTGGTGAGCCCTGGTGTGTATGAGGGAAGGGGAAGGGGAAGGGCTGGGAGCCTTGGTGAGCCCTGGTGTGTATGAGGGAAGGGGAAGGGGAAGGGCTGGGAGCCTTGGTGAGCCCTGGTGTGTAGGAGGGAAAGGGGAAGGGCTGGGAGCCTTGTGAGCCTGGTGTGTATGAGGGAAGGGGAAGGGCTGGGAGCCTTGGTGAGCCCTGTGTGTATGAGGGAAGGGGAAGGGCTGGGAGCCTTGGTGAGCCCTGGTGTGTATGTGGCCTGGGGAAGGGCTGGGAGCCTTGGTGAGCCCTGGTGTGTATGAGGGAAGGGGAAGGGGAAGGGCTGGGAGCCTTGGTGGGCCCTGGTGTGTATGAGGGAAGGGGAAGGGGAAGGGCTGGGAGCCTTGGTGAGCCTGGTGTGTATGAGGGAAGGGGAAGGGCGGGAGCCTTGTGAGCCTGGTGTGTATGAGGGAAGGGGAAGGGCTGGGAGCCTTGGTGAGCCCTGGTGTGTATGAGGGAAGGGAAGGGGAAGGGCTGGGAGCCTTGGTGAGCCCTGGTGTGTATGAGGAAGGGGAAGGGGAAGGGCTGGGAGCCTTGGTGAGCCCTGGTGTGTATGAGGGAAGGGGAAGGGCTGGGAGCCTGGTGAGGCCCTGGTGTGTATGAGGGAAGGGGAAGGCTGGGAGCCTTGGTGAGCCCTGGTGTGTATGCGGGAAGGGGAAGGGCTGGGAGCCTTGGTGAGCCCTGGTGTGTATGAGGGAAGGGGAAGGGCTGGGAGCCTTGGTGAGCCCTGGTGTGTATGAGGGAAGGGGAAGGGCTGGGAGCCTTGGTGAGCCCTGGTGTGTATGAGGGAAGGGGAAGGGCTGGGAGCCTTGGTGAGCCCTGGTGTGTATGAGGGAAGGGGAAGGGCTGGGAGCCTTGGTGAGCCCTGGTGTGTATGAGGGAAGGGGAAGGGCTGGGAGCCTTGGTGAGCCCTGGTGTGTATGAGGGAAGGGGAAGGGGAAGGGCTGGGAGCCTTGGTGAGCCCTGGTGTGTATGAGGGAAGGGGAAGGGCTGGGAGCCTTGGTGAGCCCTGGTGTGTATGAGGGAAGGGGAAGGGGAAGGGCTGGGAGCCTTGGTGAGCCCTGGTGTGTATGAGGGAAGGGGAAGGGCTGGGAGCCTTGGTGAGCCCTGGTGTGTATGAGGGAAGGGGAAGGGCTGGGAGCCTTGGTGAGCCCTGGTGTGTATGAGGGAAGGGGAGGGGAAGGGCTGGGAGCCTTGGTGAGCCCTGGTGTGTATGAGGGAAGGGGAAGGGGAAGGGCTGGGAGCCTTGGTGAGCCCTGGTGTGTATGAGGGAAGGGGAAGGGCTGGGAGCCTTGGTGAGCCCTGGTGTGTATGAGGGAAGGGGAAGGGCTGGGAGCCTTGGTGAGCCCTGGTGTGTATGAGGGAAGGGGAAGGGCTGGGAGCCTTGGTGAGCCCTGGTGTGTATGAGGGAGGGGAAGGGGAAGGGCTGGGAGCCTTGGTGAGCCCTGGTGTGTATGAGGGAAGGGGAAGGGGAAGGGCTGGGAGCCTTGGTGAGCCCTGGTGTGTATGAGGGAAGGGGAAGGGCTGGGAGCCTTGGTGAGCCCTGGTGTGTATGAGGGAAGGGGAAGGGGAAGGGCTGGGAGCCTTGGTGAGCCCTGGTGTGTATGAGGGAAGGGGAAGGGCTGGGAGCCTTGGTGAGCCCTGGTGTGTATGAGGGAAGGGGAAGGGCTGGGAGCCTTGGTGAGCCCTGGTGTGTATGAGGGAAGGGGAAGGGGAAGGGCTGGGAGCCTTGGTGAGCCCTGGTGTGTATGAGGGAAGGGGAAGGGGAGGGCTGGGAGCCTTGGTGAGCCCTGGTGTGTATGAGGGAAGGGGAAGGGCTGGGAGCCTTGGTGAGCCCTGGTGTGTATGAGGGAAGGGGAAGGGGAAGGGCTGGGAGCCTTGGCGAGCCCTGGTGTGTATGAGGGAAGGGGAAGGGCTGGGAGCCTTGGTGAGCCCTGGTGTGTATGAGGGAAGGGGAAGGGCTGGGAGCCTTGGCGAGCCCTGGTGTGTATGAGGGAAGGGGAAGGGCTGGGAGCCTTGGTGAGCCCTGGTGTGTATGAGGGAAGGGGAAGGGCTGGGAGCCTTGGTGAGCCCTGGTGTGTATGAGGGAAGGGGAAGGGCTGGGAGCCTTGGTGTGTGCATGGGAAGGGACTGGGCTGGGAGCCTTGGCGAGCCCTGGTGTGTGAGGGAAGGCGCTGGGCTGGGAGCCTTGGTGAGGCCTGGTGTGTGAGCATGAACGGCTGGGAGCGACAAGTCAGGGACGGGGAGACAGCCCAGCGCAGACTGCACGGCACAGCCTCACCAAATCGCGAGGGTTTCTCGGGGGTACCAACGCCAACGGCCATCGCGGAATTTCTCTCAGGCTGTATAGGATTACGAGACTTTCTGGACTTGATGTCTGCACGTTATTTTTAAAGGGTTAGAATGGAGAGAGAGGAAGCCACTGTGGAACCTGCTGGAGTCTGGGGAGCTCCATGGGCAGGAAGTGGCCGCCCTTGTGCTGACTTCAAGTCTTCCGCAGGTTTGGCGCCTTCGAACACAGTGCTGAGAACAGAAGTGGCACATCCTGGTGTCACCTGGCAGCATCTCCTCAGCCTCTGGTGGCTCTGACCCCCAAGAGACGTCTCGGCCACATCAAGCATGCATCCACTACCCACGCAAGGACGACCCTGGCAACAGGAGCTGGAGGACCACAGAGGGGCCTGGGCCAGCTGCCAGGCGTGGTGCCAAGGAAGGGTCAGGTGGGGCCCCAGGTGGAGGAGCATGGGCAGAGCCAGGGGTCGCAGGCGGTCAGGTCTCACCCGGCTCAGCCCAGGGCACAGCTGCAGAGAGGACACCCTGCCTGAGAGGGCACTGACAGGTGCAGCCACTGCATGGAAGCAGCTGACACAGCACAATCCACCATCCGTCACTCAGCACAGGGTCCCCCAGTTCAGCACAGGGACACCTCCACTCAGCAGCGCAGGGTCCCCCGCTAAGTGCAGTCCCCTCCTCCATTAAGCTCAGGGCCCCTCCAACTAAATGCAGGCCACCCAACACAGCACAGAGTCCCCCTTCCCGAAGCTCAGGGCCCCCCGCAGAGTGGGTATCTACCCTCAGTTCTTCCACTTCTGAACACACGCCCCTCCTGCTGCCCCCTTGTTGAACCTGCTGCCCCACCCGTACTTGTCCCCTCAGGCCTGTGGGAACGGAGCTGGCTTGTGCACGACAGCTCTCATGCGGTTCTGGTGCCCTCCCCACAGGCTTCCTTCTGCGGGCTCCCTGCTTTAGTCTCCCCTGCTGCTCCCGCCTCCCGGGCTCTCGTCTCCCCACTCTCTCGGCCTAGGTGACAGACGCAGGGGAACCACTGTGTCACTGCCCCCTCGCCGGCCAGGCAGCAGCTCTGAGGCCTCCCTGACTGCCCGACTTCCCCTCACGGGTGCACAGGAGCTCCAGAGGGCACCACACAAGGCAGGGGACACGGGTAGGGCCGTTTCCCCTTGGGCAACACAGCTTGAGGCTCAGCAAGGCCAGCCTATCCTCACGCCAGTCACTTGGTTCCAGTGACACCAAGGCAACGTACCCTGAAGTCACTCACACAGACCACTGCTCCCACAACTCTCCAAAAGGCACCCTCCGATCAGCTGGCCTCTCTTCCTGTCCTGCCATCTTCTTGGGCTCAATGCTGATGAGGTCAGGCACCCACAGAGGGCCTGGAGGTGTCTACCTCTGTGGCCTCTCCCCTCCTCTCATCACTGGGACCCCAGAGCCCCAAGAAGGGCAGATAGCAGCACCCTCCACCCCCACTCAACACCTGCTCACAGAAGACCACCACGCTGCACCCCGCCGGGACCCCAGAGCCCCGAGAAGGACAGAGAGCAGCACCCTCCACCCCTGCTCAACACCTGCTCACAGAAGGCCCCCGCGCTCAGCCCTGTGTGGCCACGGGAGACAGGAGGATGGGAGCCCGGCTCTCTGGCTGCCCGCAGCTCTGCGAGGAGACAACACAGGAGACCCACTGGGCAGTGGCAGCTCACGGGGCGTCAGCGTGGGCCTCTCGCAGCTCCTGACAGACAGCTGCCCGCGCTTCCCACTAAGACCAGTGTGGCCCAAGAGGAGATGCTGAGAACGTTTCCCAGTGATGCAGTCACGCTGGAAGCACCGAGCCGGCCTCACGGGACGTTACCTTTACAGAGCTCCGTGAGCAGGAGGAACTCAGCCTGCCCCGTGTCTGACTCCTCTTTCCCTATGGATGCTGCAGAACAAAACTGGACGATATTCGGGTGCCCGGAAAGCCTTTTCTGCAGTTGTCTTGTTAAAGGAGAATGTGCATAACCATGTCCACAGTTCTGTGCACTTAAACACAAATGTACCCAACATTAAAACGCTGAAGTCCTAATACTTGAATCTACTCCCCTTGCAATTTGAGACGCCAGAGCAGAAGATGAGGACGAGAGCGGCGAGCGACCAAGAGGGAGGCAGACAGACATGGGAGGAGCGGACACGGGAGGAGGGGACACGGGAGGAGGGGACACGGGAGGAGGGGGACACGGGAGGAGGGGACACGGGAGGAGGGGGACACGGGAGGAGGGGACACGGGAGGAGGGGGACACGGGAGGAGTGGACACGGGAGGAGGGGACACGGGAGGAGGGGACACGGGAGGAGGGGGACACGGGAGGAGGGGACACGGGAGGAGGGGACACGGGAGGAGGGGACACGGGAGGAGCCGCAGGAGAAGGCGGGGACAAGGGCAGGCAGGTCGGCCACACACACCTGACCACAGCAACACCAAAGTCCGTCCCACCAGGCGGGAGGAGGCAGGGCCCTCAAGGGCTGTGCACAGGGAGGCTGCGGGGTGGCCATGTCCACCTGAACCCATACTTAGGCAGCCAGCAGGCTCGCCAAGTGGACAGAGCTAGGAGCAGAAAGAGAAGCAGAGTCTGAGGGTAGCCAGGACCGAAGACCCCTGGCTCAGGAAGGGTGTGTGGCAGGGGACAGATTCTCCATCAGCGACAGGAGACGCCCTGCCCAATCATGCTTGGACAGCCTGAAAAAGGACAAGAGGGGCTGCTGAGAAGCCACATGGAGGCCTATGGGAGCCAGGCCAGCTGCACAGCTTCCAGCCAGGTCTCTGAAGGAGCCGAGAAGGAGGAGCTGAGGGAGCCAGGCCAGGCCAGGGCCCCTGCAGTAACCAGCCTTTCCAATGGGCAGGGAGATCTCTTGGGTATGAACAACTCCATCCCCAACACTTCTGAATCTTTTACTGCCACCCTAGGAGTAAAAAACGGAAAAAACTGCTTCTTACTAGAAGTCGCCTACAGGTTTAGCAAAAGCAAAAAGCCAATTTTAACACATGAAAGACAATGTCACAGAGTAGCGTCCCGGCAGCTGGCAGCCACAGCTTGATGCAGGCCCGTGCCAGCCACAGCCGCCGTGCTGGCCCCTGGCTCTGGGAAAAGGATACCATGAAACACACTTCTTGAATGATGGCTCTGTTCTTTTCCTCTTCGTTGGATAATAGCCTCTGTATCAGGAAATAGCACACACAAAAATTAAAGCATTTTTCCTCCCCCTTTACCTGATGCGTCATCTCGGACGCAAACATGCAAGGCAACAATGCAACGTGTCTGACACGGCCCCCGTCCTGTGGCTCTCACCTTTGACCCGTGTAAAAACATGCTGCGGGTTCAAGACCCTCGAAAGATCTTTGGGGTCCAAGGACACAAGAAAAGACAAAAACAGGAGCCTTCCCTCCAAACAGGCCAGAGTGAAATGAGACAGACAAAAAGGAAGAGCGGAGATGCTCGGCAGAGACCGGCGGGGGAGCCTGCAGACCACCAGCACAGGCCGCTCATGGCCACTCTCGGAGGTGGGGCCACCCTGGGGCCCAGTGTGGTGACAGCAAATGGGGCCTTCTTAGGTCTCAGGACAAAACCACACGGTGCAGACCCTCCCACAGTGGCTCCTGTTTACAGATAGGCCATCAACACACATTTTTTACAAGCAGTTTTCAAACTCCGTGTATTCACAGAGCCCTTATTTTGGCACAAAAAGGCCAAGAGGGCATGGCCCCACCGTGGGGTCACCCTTGCCCTCTCTCCAAGGCAGCACAGGCCCCACCTCGGGGCAGGCAGGGCCACAGACGTGCAAAGCCCAAAGCCGGAGACCAAGGCTGCTGAGCTTCAGCCAGAGAGAAGGGACAAGAATTCGCAGGTGGCAAAAGGAAATGAAGTAAACAACAGGAACGCACCCCAAAAACACCGTCATCCAGAGGGTTCCTTCAAATGTATCAGAAATCCAGAGGAAATGGTAGACCGTTCATTACCTTTAGTGCATACTCTCTGCCACTTCCCACATCTTGAGCTTCATATACAAATGCAAACCCTCCTGAAAATTAAAAATACTTGTCAGTTCAATACTATGATTTCATTTCATTTAACACATTAGGCTTAAAAACACCTTCACTAAGTAAAATACAAAAATAACTTGTGGCTATGGCCAGCAGTTTTCTACAAAACATAATGGCCTCAGCATACACAGTGCCAGACACACAGCCCCAGTGCATACGGCCCCCCAACACACACGGACCCAGCACACATGGTCCCCACCCCACACAGCCCCAGAGTACATGGCACCCCCTCACACACAGCCCCACACACACACGGCCCCAGAGTACACATCTCCCCACAGCTCCAGCACACACGCCCCCCCCCAATACACAACCCCAGAGTACACAGCCCCCCACACACAAGGCCCCAGACACACACCCCCCACCCCGCCCCAGACACACACCCCACCCCACCCCAGACACACACCCCACCCCACCCCAGACACACACCCCCCACCCCGCCCCAGACACACAGCCCCAGCACACACACAGCCCCAGACACACAGCCCCAGCACACACACACCCCACCCCACCCCAGACACACAGCCCCGGCACACACACACACCCCCACCCCGCCCCAGACACACCCCCCACCCCACCCCAGACACACCCCCCACCCCACCCCAGACACACACCCCCCACCCCGCCCCAGACACACAGCCCCAGCACACACACACCCCCACACAGCCCCAGACACACAGCCCCAGCACACACACACCCCACCCCACCCCAGACACACAGCCCCAGCACACACACACACCCCCACCCCGCCCCAGACACACCCCCCACCCCACCCCAGACACACACCCCCCCACCCCACCCCAGACACACAGCCCCAGCACACACACACCCCACCCTGCCCCAGACATACACACACCCCACCCCACCCCAGACACACACCCCCCACCCCGCCCCAGACACACAGCCCCAGCACACACACACCCCACCCTGCCCCAGACATACACACACCCCACCCCGCCCCAGACATACAGCCCCAGCACACACACCCCACCCCGCCGCAGACACACACAGCCCCAGACACAGGACCCCAGACACACGGCCTCAGCGCACACACCACTGCCTTTCACTTGCTCTACTCCAGAGACAGGAAGGAGTGACTTAAAAACACAGGTCAACAGAGGAGAAAAAAACAACAAGCAGTTCTCCCAAGACAAATGAAACTGACAAATTCTAGACAGATGGATTCTCAGAGAGAGCAAGGGCAGACCACCAATACCCAGAACAAGAGGGGACCTCACTTCCCTGACGCCCAAAAGAGAAGACGGAAAAGCACATACGGATGTCGCTCATGAATGTGGACGGAAGAATTCTTAATAAGATAGCAAACCAAGCCCAACAAGACACAAACAGTAGAGTTGGTTTAACACTTGAAAATCAATTTAACTCTATGGTTTTGGGGTCTAATTTGCTTAGCTTTGTTTTAGCTTTCTGCAGTGGAAACAGTGTATCATGAAATTTAAAACTCTCTGTAAACTAGGAATAGAAAGAAACCTCCTCAGCCTGATAGAAGACGTCTGTGAGACACCAACAGGAAGACTGCCGTTAATGATGCTAAATTCAATCCTCCCCCAGAGCAGGAAGCAGTCGGGGGTCCTTGTTCTCACCACTGACGGTCAGCACTGAAAGGAAGTTCCAGCCAGTGCAACCAGCCAAGAAAAAGAAATAAACACACCCAGATGAAAAAGGAAGTGAAAATATTTTTACTTGCAGGTGATGTGATCATCTATGTGGAAAGTCCGGTGAAATCTACAAAAGAAAAGCTACCATAACTAATAAACGCGTTCAGGACGGTCACCAGATGTAACAGCAACGTACAAAAACCAACTGTGTTTCTACGTGACCTCGGTTAGGCAGAGATGCTCCGGATAGGAGCACAAAAGCGTGACCCATAAAAGAAAAATAATGACAGACAGACTTCAAGAATTTCTGCTTTTTGAAATACACTGGTCAGAGGATGAAAAGATAAATCACCACTAGGGTTTGCAAATCATCACTTAAAAAAGCACTTCTACTGAGACAATATTTTAAAATCCAAAGAACAATTTTTTTTCTTCTGAGGCAGGATCTTACTTGCATGTCACCCGGGATGGAGCAATGTGGCACAATCACGGCCCACCACCTTGACATCTGGGCTCAAGCAATCCTCCCACCTCAGCCTCCCAAGCAGCTGGGACTACAGGCATGCACCACCACACCCGGCTACTTGTTTTATTTTTTGTAGAGACAAGGTTTTGCCAAGTTGCCCAGGCTGGTCTTGAACTCCAGGACTGAGGCCTCTGAAAGTACTGAGACTACAGGTGTGAGCCACCGCACCCAGAGAACATTTTTAACGTGCAAAAGATATGGACGGACACATCACCAAAGATATGCTTGTGACAAGTACACAACGTGTTCCACCATCGCCCATTAGCCAAATGCAAACTTAAACTGCTAAGATACGACTCCACGCCTAACAGAGTATCTAACGTTGAAACACTGCCCAGACCAAGTGTAGGTGAAGATGTGGAGCAACCGGAAAGCTCACGCACAGCTTTTGGAAATGCAGAATGGTACACCCACTCTGGAAAACGTTTTGGCAATTTCTTAAAAAGTTCAACAAAGATCAACAATACAGCCCTGACATTACACTGCTGTGTATTTACCCAAGAAAAATCAAGGCACACATGTGTACAAAGACCCGTACACCGTACACAAATGTTCACAGCGACTCTGTGTGCAACAGCCTAAAACCGGGACAACCCCAATGTCCATCAACAGGTGAGTGGATGAACAAATTATCCACACCTGTAACGCTACGCAGCAGTAAGAGGAGTGAGACTAGTGTTACGCGACAACGTGAATACACTAAAAAGCATCATGGTGAGTAAAAAAAGCCAGCACACACACAAAAAGTACATACACTCAGTTTTGTGTACAGAAAACATTAGAAAATGCAAATGAATCTATAGCAACAGAACGCCAATCAGCAGTTTCCTGGGATGGGAACAGGAAAGCAGGGTGAAGGGTCGTTGGGGGGAGAAGGGGGACCATGGCGCCAATGTACACGCTGACTGCCTTGATTGGTGAGGTAGCCATGCCGTGTGCCGTGCACACACACACGTGACATGGTGAGGTAGCCATGCCGTGTGCTGTGCACACACACACATACATGACACATGGTGAGGTAGACATGCCGTGTGCCATACACACACACACATACGTGACACATGGTGAGGTAGCCACGCCGTGTGCCATACACACACACACACATATGTGACACATGGTGAGGTAGCCACGCCGTGTGCCGTACACACACACACGTGACACATGGTGAGGTAGTCATGCCGCATGCCATACACACACACACATACACGACACATGGTGAGGTAGACATGCCGTGTGCCGTATACACACACACATACGTGACACATGGTGAGGTAGCCATGCCGTGTGCCGTACACACACACATACGTGACACATGGTGAGGTAGCCATGCCGTGTGCCGTACACACACACACGACACATGGTGAGGTAGCCATGCCGTGTGCCGTACACACACACACACACACGTGACACATGGTGAGGTAGCCATGCCGTGTGCCATACACACACATACGTGACACATGGTGAGGCAGACATGCCGTGTGCCATACACACACACACATACACGACACATGGTGAGGTAGACATGCCATGTGCCGTACACACACATACATACGTGACACATGGTGAGGTAGACATGCCGTGTGCCTTACACACACATACATGACACATGGTGAGGTAGACATGCCATGTGCCGTACACACACATACATACGTGACACATGGTGAGGTAGACATGCCGTGTGCCTTACACACACATACATGACACATGGTGAGGTAGACATGCCATGTGCCGTACACACACATACATGACACATGGTGAGGTAGACATGCCGTGTGCCGTACACACACACACGACACATGGTGAGGTAGACATGCCGTGTGCCGTACACACACATACATCACACATGGTGAGGTAGCCATGCCGTGCCGTACATACACACATACATGACACATGCCGAAACATTTAAAACATGCGGCCTGTAGATCTCATCTTTATCTCAACAGAACTGTTAAAAAATTTAAATAATAAATCTGTGAGGAAAAACACAGATGAAAGGAAGTAAATGGAAATCCATGAAATAGAAAACAGACGGCTCCACTGCTAAATTACATCAAACACTTAAAGACAAAATCACAACAAGCTTATAAAACATCTTCATTAGATAGAGGAGAGTTCCCAGCCCAATTCTCAAGGTTAGCAAAACACTAACCAAAGAAGGGTAGAAAGACCAAATGAAAGAAAGATATCACTCACTAGCACAGACACAAAACATCCTCAAGAAAATACTAGCAAATCGATTCTGGCAAAACGTAATAAAGATAATACGTCATAACCAGCTGGGATTCATCCCAGGAATGCAAGGTTGGTGTAACATTAAAAAATCAATCACTGTAGTAAACCACATTAGCACAATAGGGAACGCTGGACCACCAACAAAATTGTAGAAATGACAACTGCAAACACCTGCATCTAACATGAGACTTGACAGTGTTTTCTTGCTAAGATCGGGAACGGGGTGCGAGGTCTGCTCTCGGCACGGTTTTCTAGCATTTTACCGGAGATCCAGTTAACACAAGAGAGCGAGGAAAATTAATAAGAGGCATAAAGATCAAAAAGGAAAGACTAACAAAAGATACAGAACTTCAGTTAGCCAGGAAGGATAAGCTCAAGAGATCTACTGTACAACATGGCGACTATACAGTAAACAACTACTACGTTCTGAAAAACGCAGTGGAGTTAAGTGTCTTCACCGAAAAACTATGACACAGTACACGTGTCCGTTAGCTAGATGTGGTCATTGCCATGTGAAGTGCATGACACACGTGCACTTCAAACCATAATATTTTAAGTTTTGTCTGTCAACTTAAAATATGAAACATGAAAAACAGGAAGA